ACAACTTCTATACAACGAAAGGAGACTGCGACCACACAAAAGGCCACACCATCTTGGTCTTCATACCATATTCCTTTTGCCTGAAAAATTTGAGCCAAGTCAGTTTGGACCAAAATTTGTGTCCTGTGATCGGCAAAACGCTTCCCCAGCCTATGAGCGACCATTAATTGTAACGCATTTCTTCTACCTACGCCTTGACTCTCTGACTACGGTACCACGTTTTGCCGGCACTTTGTGTCATTTCCCGTCAGCCACCCAGGTTTGCCATCGCAACCTATTTGTTTCCTGGCCTAGTTCTAGCTATTAGTGCCAGTCACATGGCAATCTGACTTGATCATAAGGGTCGAAATGAACAATTTCACATGTGGACATGTGAGTTGGCCTTCTCGGCCAACAGACATGGATGCAGTTGAGCCTATCCACTCACTACCTATGCCCAACACTTAAGCACACCAGCAATTGCCCAGCCAACTACACTGTTTGTAGGATTTATTTGGTTTATATGTTTTTTAGGCGATTACTTATTGTTCTACTTGATTAATGGCTTAATCGTTTTCTGAGTAGGATCAAAAATTAAATCAAGTTTAAGCTTGTCAGGATTTTGGTTCTTTGGACGTTAGGATTTATCTATTAATAATGTATGCTGTAAAATCAAGTTTAAATACATTTTCGCCAATCTCTCATTTATACCGCCTTCTTGAGGCTATTCTATTAGTTACAGGGTTTGCGGAATTTTTCTTACTTTATGGAAAACATACGAACAAATGAGGAATGGGGCAAATGCTCCATCGACTTGCATCTCAAGGCTTGACGGCACTGGCCATAGAAGGGGGTGGACTCTGCTGACGTCACGTTATGAAAGTGGCCCAAAGGGTCGGTTACACCGGCCGGACCGAAGGGAATGATACTTCTTCCGGCAAGGCTAAAGCCGTGATGATTGATGGCATCATGCATAACCTGGACACACATCCACCAAAAGCAGCGGCCCAAGTGGCCCAGTTTCCGGAGACCAGACAGAAGAAGTGGTTCCAAATTTCACTGACTCTCAAACAGCCCATTTTACCCATTAGCGCCATCCTCGTTGAGGGCTCAACAACAAACGGAAGCCCCCGTAAAACGACTTGAGCCTGGCGGAGGTGGCAAGAGGAGTCCATCTGTCTTGCCGGATTTGGACTTGCGGTATGAGGACAATAAAATTAGGGCAAATACTGAGGGATTGAAGTTTCTTTATTCTCGAAAATACTTCTTGAACAAAATGATTAGTCAGCATGGGTTGCTCAAAGTGATTTGAGGCCTGATAGCAAAATTTTCCTAAAATCATGTGAGTAGAACTCATGTTGCCATTGAACTTCACCTAGACTTGCCTCCCGGAGGGTCTTATCATCCAGGCGGAACTAGAGTTTTTACCTGGCCTAAACTAACTGATAACTTCAGAGCTTATAAATATATACTAATATTAATTAATATATGACATTATCGATTACAATGTCAAAAACATATCTGCCTCGTTGACTGTTAAACACTACAAATGGGATTTGGAGAAGCTTGGCTTACCTGGGAATTCGTATCTACCCGCATTATTACCTGCTGATCGATAATGTGTCAACATAATACCCACGACCCTGTTTCGAATACCACTAAGGGTGCTTACGAGACGGTGCAACAAAGTCGAAACCACAGTCCAGCCTGGAATAGAAACAAATCTAAATTGATACGTAAGTCGTGTTCACTCTTATTCGTTTAAGATGATTAAGGACTGGTAGTTGAATTTTCTCACAATGTTATGAATAGAGCTGATGTTTCCGTTGAATTTCACATAGACTTGATTTCCCAAAAGGTGTTTTCATCCAGGTTGGACATTTTGAGGAACGCAAAGCCATGTGCAATTCAATGGAAATGTCAGCTCTACTCACATCATTGTGGGAAAATTAAACTACTAGTCGTTCATCATCTTAAACGAAATAGGGTAAACACAACTCGTATAAATGATTTACTGGTGATCTCGAAAACCTACTAAAATAACTAAATTGATATGTTCACTATCAGACATAAGGTGATTAAAGTTATTTTTATTTCTTGAAAAAGTATGGATTGTACTTTTTTTACCGATCTCCTACCATCCAACTTTTCCTACTAAGCCAAGGTTCAAATAGCATGAATTCACGGTACTTTGTGTTATGAGTACTCATTCCGAATCAGCTGCAATTTCGACCCAATCTGAATCAACTCACTAGCCTCACCGGGACTCGAAGTGCCGCGAACTATGGGTGTCCACTGTTTGTACCTCCAGACCAAAGTTGGCGTACTGTAGCATTAGCATTGGAAAAAGCACCAGCGATATTCATATATACATAATAAGAACAAGAACTTAATTGCCTTATTGAATAGTCTTCGTATAGGTTAGAAGCATTCTGACTATTAAAGAATATGAGTTCAGAGAAGCTCGGTTTTTCCTAAATCATGCCTTAGTTACTATGTGGCGGAGTGGCATGTAATCGATACTATACGTGTACACCCTTTGGAGGTAGAAACGGTGGTTAAGGTGGAATAGGAAAGAATTTCTGGGGCAAAGCTATGAGAAATTTCAGAGCATAGTTCATTATATTGAATTCAAAAACCACTAATTGAATCAACTTAAACGACTCTTGTTTATAGGCTTTTTAACTCAAGCTATTTTAGTAATTTATAACTCTACACATTCGGAATGCATCATTCTAGGTTAAGAAACCGAAATGATGCCGGGTAATGTAATTCGTATGTGTATTCACTCTATTTTGTTTAAGATGGTAAGGAAACTGATGGTCGAATTTTTCCACAATGCTGTGAGTAGACCTTACTTTTTCATTGAATTACCCAAAAGGTATTCTCATCCAGGCCTGAATTAATTTTCTTCCTCGCCTAGGTCCCATTAGCTTAGATTAC